CTTTGCTTGCTCTCTGTCAGCTTGTGAAGGGGTCTTGCGATGGAAGAAAAGTCCTTCAACGAATCTCCTATAGTAGGTGCAAAGCCCTAGGAAAAGCTTCTCAGCTGAGGGACATTTTCGGGAAGTTTCCAGGATTTAACGGCTGACACCTTTTCAGGATCCGTGCGCACACCTTCTGCAGAGATGACATGTCCCAGGTAAGTCACTTCCTTTCGAAAACAATTTGCATTTAGCGGGAACTCAGCTTCAGTTTGGCCTTTTTCAGTTTCTGAAGCACCTCTCTAAGATTTTCTAAATGCTCTTCAAAACTCTTTCCTACGATGATGATATCGTCCATGTATATCAGACAGGCTTCGTAGGAAAGACCTTTCAAAACAGTCTCCATAAGGCGTTCGAATGTTGCCGGCGCATTACACAGTCCAAACGGCATCACCTTGAATTGCCAAAGCCCTTGACCCGTAGTAAATGCCGTCTTTTCTCGGTCTTCAGGGTGTATTTTTACATGCCAATAACCACTCTTTAAATCAAGTGTTGAGAACCACTTGCTTCCAGAAAGAGTGTCTAGAATGTCGTGAATTCTAGGAAGAGGGTAACTGTCTTTCTTCGTAACCTCATTCAACCGGCGATAGTCAACGCAAAATCTTGTTGAGCCGTCTTTCTTTCTGACAAGAACGATGGGAGATGCCCATGGACTTGCTGAAGGCTCGATGACATTGCCTTCTTCCATATCCTTTAAAAGTGTTCGTACCTCTTCCTGTTTAGCAATCGGTAGACGTCTTGGATGTTGCTTGATCGGAGGATGATCGCCGGTATCAATTCTATGTTCTGTCAAACTGGTTTTAACCCACGTCAGAAGAGGAGCGGGAGAAAAAACAACTTGAAGATCTTTAATGAAGCGATCGGCAGCATTCTTCTCTTCATCGTTTAATTGCGCATTCTGAAGTAACTCTGATGTAATGCTTTCTGAAGACACGGACTCTTGGATGTTACTCTTTCTTTCAACGGTGGTTACTGGAGTACATGCTGCAACCACTTCACCTTTCTTAATAATTCTCACCTTCTCAGTTACATTGGCGACTCTCACCGGGATAACCATTCTGGATAGTTCGACGAGTGTTGATGCTACTAGTATTCCTTTTGGGCTATTACAGTTATTTGGATATTCTATGATGCTGTAGCGGAAATTTCTGTTTTCGGCTATGGATCCAGGAAGTAAAATTTCTGTTCTTGCCGTTATTGTGATATTGTCTTGTACTATGATTTTATGGACAGATTTAACTTCTTCATCATTAACTCCAAATAACGCTATGTCCTCAGTTGTAGAATGCAATTCGTTATTTTTAAAGTCCAAGGAAAAATTGTATTTCCTTAGAAAGTCCAATCCGAGTATGCAAGAATCAGTGATCTCTGCTGCATATTCCATGTGATGGTAAGCGGCACTTCCAAACGTGATGTTAACATTTACTTTTCCGTCGATGTCGATCTTCTCACCGGACACAGTCTGGAGGGGAACGCAAGGCGGCGTCCAGATGAGTTTGTTTCCCAGTTGTTGAGCCAAATCTTTTCGGATGATGGTAACGTTGGCTCCTGTATCTATCGTCATGTTGCAGGGAACTCCATTAATATGTCCTATTATGAACAGTCCATTACTGCCGCCTCTCACTGCAGAAATCTGAAGCGCTTTAAACTGGGGCTTTTCATTATCTGGCGACCTCCGCCCCGCGAGATGGCCACAAATTAGTTTCCCTGCTGCTTGATAGGAGCGGTCTTAACATCCGTGCCCTGGGGCGTTCTGCAGTTCCTTCGTATGTGTCCTTCAGATCTACAGTTCCAACATTTTAAGGTCGATTTCTTGTCACTGATATTTCGTCTCAAGGCATTCAGTTGTCTGGTTATATCGTCTAGACGAACAGTGACTTGATCCCTTGGCTCTTGAACTTGAGCAGCTCTGATTGGGTGGCGGTCTCTACGAGTTTCTTGCTGGGCTGCTTCGAATTTCATGGCGTACACTAGAGCACTTTTTAAATCTTTAACATCCGCCATTCGTAGAGCTTTCTGTATTTCGGGATCCCGGATGCCATCGATAAAGTACTGCAGGGACAGGATTTCCCTCGTTTTCTCTCGGGAACTCCGTAAAGGCGAGGTGGGACAGCCTTCTAACATCCGTGGCGAGTTCCTGGAGTGATTCGGTGGGCTTCTGTTGACGGGATTTTAATTGAAGCCTGCTGTAGTCTTTTAAACACTTCTCGCCAAAGCGCAGCTTCAATGCGCCGGATAAACTTCAAGTCTTTATGCGCCGGATAGACTTCAATGCGCCGGATAGACAAGTCAAGTCTTTGGTTTTCTGGAATCGTCTTTCAGGATATCTGCTGCTCTCAGAGAAGCGGCGAGATGACAGGCCTTAGTTTGGGAATCCCACCCATTCGCATCCGAAACGATAGAAAATTGTGTTTTATACACTTGTCAGGATGTCTTCCCATCATATGTGGATAACTTCAGAGATGGACGAGCAGGCATCGGTAAGAATTTAAAACCCTCAGAATAGCTTCCTTCTGTCGCTATGCTCTTCTTTAAAGTGTCAACTTCTTTGTCAACAGCAGCAGAAACCCTTTCCTCAATTTGTTGTTGGACGGCAGAAACTCTTTGTTCAATTTGTTGCTCTACCGCAGAAACTCTTTCTTGAATTTCTCCAACTTTGTCTTCAACTGTATCCATTCTTCCTTCCATAGCTTTGAACTTGTTTTCTATTATGCAAGTAATTTCTCTCTTCCATTCCTCTTGACCTACTGTCAGTTCCTCTTTAATAGATTTCATCTCTCTTCTAAAGGATTCTTCCATTTTTTCTGACTAGCTTCCATCTTTTCTTTTCATTTCTTCTTGTCCCGTTTTTATTTCTTCCTTAACGGATTCCTGGCCCAATTTCATTTCTTCTTTAACGGATCTAATCTCTCCTTTAACACTTTCATCTCTGCTTTAAATGCAGCAAAGGCTGCCATGAATGGTTTTAACTGTTCTTCCATCGCTCTCGTGATTGGCATTCAATATCCCACTTCTGACACCAAAAATTGTTGCGTGCGTACGGGTTCGTCATGAAATAAATGCACAATTCCGATGAAAAATGAATAAAAATTTATTATTATCACAACAAAAATGCTTAAATTTCCTCAAATTATCATGTAGTATTACAATATCTCACAGTAGTTATCTTCTAACTACTCAAATGTTCAATAGAACGTAATTCAAAACAGCTAAAGAAAGCTAATCCGCGAATCCGCTACAATCAACAAGAGCAGTTTTCTAAACAACAACAAAGTAAGTAACTAACTAACTACGAACTGAGAGGTTTTCCTCCTTTTATAAGATTTTAAAAATCACGCGCGAGAATTTTCTAGTACTTTCTCGAAATCAAAAAGAGATATTTATTAAATGTTTAATACACGCGCTCTTGTATTTTCAATTTTCCTGCTTAGCTTTCTTTTAATATTCGTCACGCGCTGCACTGCGCGGGAAATAAAACCATTTAATTATAATTGAACTAGCATTAGCTTTTTAAATACCAAATTCGTAACAATATAATTTATTTTTGAACATTCTTGAAAGCTATTTTTCCACATCACTACATTACGGCATCAAATAAGAACACCAGGGTTTATCTATGACATTACATTTCTGAAACAATAAACGAAATCAAGCAATGACCGGATGATGTAGGTCTTGCAAGCGAGAAGAGATGTAGAAGCAAAGTGCACAGTTATTCAATACGGAAGCTCACTTAGCTATGTGTCTGTTTGAGTACCGGATTAGTTACGTCATAAGCGTTATTAAGTCTCATATATGGATTGATCTAAAAATGACACAGTCGACGGAAATTTTGGTCTAATCTAAAGAATAAAGAATAAAGGTCTAAAATCTAAAGAAGGAATTTATTATGTATATTGTAATATCTTGTTATTTAATAAATTTATTTATTATTTATTTAATTTATTGTTGAAGTGGCAACGCCATATTTGTATTATGTAACCGTTGCTCAGCAATGTGAGAATTTGTTTTTAAAAATTAGATTCTGAAGTTTTTACCAGTTAGTAGTAGTAAGAAAGTTTTGTCACTAAAGAATTTCTTCAAATTTTCTATCTCCGTGAACTAGAAATAAAATTTATGTTCAAATAAGAAGATTGCTTGTTTTGTCAATTACTGCAAAATACATTATAATATATATATATAAATTTATTATATATATAGACAGAGAAAGAGAAATATATATATATATGATATAAATTATAAGTCTGCAAGAGATTTAATTATATTAATATTATCTTGATTACGTATATATATATATATATATATATAATCAAGATATTATTAAAATAATTAAATCAATTAAATCTTTTACACACACACACATATATATATGTGTGTAAGTGTGTTTATATATATACATATATATAGGAAATGGCCATGCAGTTGTGGAGGTAACTTAGTTATATGATGCAAAAGCGCCATCTAGATGAGCTCGCAGACGTTGACAAATACAAATGTTTTGAGGACTCTTCTTTCCTTCGTATTTTTAATTCATGTCAATAAATTGTAGTTTAATAATAACTCGTTGTTAATGAATGAAGTTTCTCTACATAATATATGTGTGTCTACAAAACCTAGCTGAAATATCGATGGTAAATGGGAAGGAGTTACGCTAAAGGAAATATGTTTGTAATCATAATATTTTGCATAGTTGATTAATTATGAATAAATATATTTGTTATTGAAAACAAGATTTATGTTTGCAAAGATATACCCTACGATGGATGTGTTTAAAAACTTTCCGTATGAGATGTATAGTAATGATACTCGAACATTTCAAAGATAATACAGTATATTGCCAAATTATAATAAAAGAAGTTCACTGTAATTGTACTAAAACGTGACTGCTGTTTCTGAACAATTATCACTAAATTGTCACCGCTTGTAACAGCATGAACTAACGGGAGAATTTTTATTTTCAGTTCTAGGTGCTGACTTCAGTAAAAATGGTTTTGGCGACGACATCAATTCCATGAACAAGAAGAAAAAAAAGAAAAGGAGACACAGGTTAATATTTTCTGCCTTATGGTTTTATAAATTTAGCTTTTATTGGCCAATTTAAAGAATCAATTTTTTTTCTTTAATACTGATATTATTTGGTATGTTCTGTAAACGCGAATTTGTTAATATCCCTGTAGTGTTATGAAAATATAACTACTTTTGGAAGTGTAAACTCTATTTTTTTTTTCATTTTCTACGTATGAAACTCGTTAAATGGTGTTATGAACACTTATAAACTACATACACCGAATGATTGCAGTAAGATAGTACTGTGAAAAATATTTTTTAATGCAGTAATATGGTAACGGTATGAGCTTTTGAGACCAGTGTCAGAGAATCACTACAGGGCTCCAGTTATCTTTATTTTAATCAACCTTCTCAAAACTTGATTTAATGGTAAAATTAAACGATAACCTATGATAGTTTCGCCATTTTTCTAGTAAGTGAGGATTTCATTTGAAAATTCCTGTGTTAAAATGTCTACCAACTTGAAAAGCAAATGAAAATATTTGCAGCAACTTAACAATTTTGCCAATGATCTCCACTAGGTCTCTAAGAAATTAAGTGATCAGAAATTTTAATCAGAAAAATCAGAAATTTCTTTAACAATTTTTAATTATTTTCTGTTTTTTCCTCACTATTGGGATTAGTTTTGGTTCATTTGCCTTCAAATTGTTCAATTCAATTTGTAACGTATTCTTTTAGTAAAAGAGAAATAACACTGAAAAATATATATATATAAGTTATCCACTAATCTACACTTGTCAGATGCAGTTTCGTACACGCTCCTCAAAAACTCATTCAGTTCTTATTTTACACTCTTTTTTTTTTTTCTGGCATCATATTTATTCTTACTTACTCCATTTATATTGCTGTAACTGTAACACAAAATTGCAGCATCAAAAACATAAAATGTGTAAAGTAAGTGAGTAAAAATGCTTTGTTTTGATTGATTTATTCAAATTTTTAACTTTTTTTAAAAATGCTAACTTGTTAATTAGTTTGGCTTTGGAAGTGAAAATGTTTAGTCTTCCTGCGTACCTTCATTTTTTCTTACCATATGTGGTTCAGTAAAAAATTTTTATTTTTTGTTGAACGTTGGAACGCTTCTCTGAGCTTATATAAATAATGCTGTGTATAAGAATTAATTTTAATCTTCAGAAAAATTCATAGCTTTACAGAAAATGTTCACTTTAAGAAGTTAGTAGCTGTTCTATATGATTTAAACCCGTAATTAAATCATATTGCAAGATTTTCTTTTTACAAAATGTAGCAATCAATTTCGTTCGATTCTATCAAAAGCTCAATTTCGAAATGTTTGTTATATGGATATAAGGAATTTTGTATGCGTGACTGAAACTAAACTAGATACACAAAAACATGAAATATGCCCATAGTTAAAGAGTAATGCATTTATTTTAATAGGCTCACTTATAGAGAAAAGTGGCTCAAAAAGGCTGTATCATCAAATACTTTGAAAAAAAAACGTGTTTTTTATGCGAAACAAGGTCCTTTTTAAGCAGAAAAATACTATTACTGAAGTAAAAAAGTTTTTACGCTCATTGAAAAGCTTTTAGTGAAAGCTTTTAATTACTCATATGAGGTAAAATAATAATAATAATAATTCCAAGTTTTTGTTACATCTTGCAAATACATCCAGCAAACTAGATTATGAAACCAGTTTTAATTAGAATATTTATTTTATATTTGTGAGTTAATGGGTGATTGGATAGGATCTAACTATTTCGAAAACATAACACGTTTTAACCCAAACTCGATTTAAAAATGTTTGTACAGAAAATAAAATGTTAGTATGTGGTGTAATAAAATTATATGGGTTTGGTTTCTGGGGTCAGCGAACAGTACGAAACCAACATTCGTGCAAACAAGAGTTTAAACAATATTGCAATTTGGAAATTTCAAATTTCAGTCTAATCCCTCGAAGAATTTACTAACAAAATTCCAAAAAGTAAAAAACAATTTAAAATTACTGAAGAAATAAATAAGCCTAAATAGATTGTAATATCAATGAACATTTTTAATGACAGAGATTATCTTAAACATAGTTGCATACAGCAGAGAAAAAAGGCGAAGAAGTAAGAATAGTATACATATACATACATACGTAATAAACAGTTACGTCATCATTCATCACCGCGCGGATAAACGCGAACGGCGCATGCGTCAGGAGAAGCTCTCTTAATCTAAACGTCGTATTATAATTTATGATACAACAATCCCCCTTTCGACGTTTGGCGGCTGAAAAAAAAATAAACATTAATCATTTATAGTTATTCCAATTAATTTACAGCACTTAGAATGTTTCGAAGCAGTCAAAATGTTTTTGTCAGTACATCTGCAGGCATTTTCTCTGTTGGCACATGTATTTAACGTCTATTTCATTTCTTTCATAAATTTCACGAATGAAATGATGTCTAATATCTATGTGTTTAGTGCGTGAGTGATAAACAGCATTTTTTCATAAGCTTCTGTGCACCTTGATTATCACAATATATAATGGTTGGAATAATCAGCAGTTAAAATTTAATTCTTTAAGAAAACGACGTAAATAAACTGCTTCTTTGGCACTTTCTGAAAGACTGATGTAGTCTGCTTCAGTACTTGATAATGCAACAGTTTGTTGCTTTCGTGATTCCCATGTTATCGGATTTCCAGCTAGCTTGAATAAATAACCTGTATATGATTTTCTAGTATTAACATCTGACGCCCAGTCGGCATCGGTATATCCAATAAGTGCTTTTCCAGTCTTTCGAAATTTCAAACAATAATTTTTAGTTCCTTTTAAGTATCGAAGAACGCGCTTTGCAGCCAACCAGTGTAGTTTTCCAGGATTGTTATTAAATTGGCTCAGGTGACTGACGGCATATGCAATATCCGGCCTAGTAAACACAGAAAGATACATAAGCGAACCAATTAGACGGCGATAAGGTACATTTTTCATTTCTTCCTTTTCAGTTTCAGAAGGACACATTTCTTTACTTAATTTTACACTAGGATCTAAAGGAGTTGCTACTGGTTTTGCATCTTGCATATTAAACCTTCGTAGAAGAATATTATCAACATATTTCTGCTGAGATAAACTAATAGAATTATTATTTACATCTTGATTAAATTCTATTCCAAGACAATAATGAAGTTTGCCTAAATCTTTAACATGAAATTCTTTAGAAAGAAACCTTTAAGTTCAGCATATAAATCACAGCTATTTGTTGCTATTATTAAGTCATCAACATATAAAATTAGAATTAACTCACCTTGAGATGTTTTTCATCCTGTATACACACTTATCTGATTGTAATGGTTGTAATCCAAAGTTTTCGAGTTTTTTGTCTAATTTTTCATACCACTGTCTTCCACTTGTTTTCAAACCATAAAGAGACTTTTGCAAAGCATAAACATAATCAGGATTATTTTGGTCTTCAAAACCTTTAGCTTGTTCCATGAAAATTTCTTCTTTTAAATCTCCGTTAACATAAGCCATAACAAAATCTAGTTGATATAACATAAGGTCTTGTTCAGCACTGTAAGCAATCACAGTTCTTATAGAACTTGCTCTGGCTACTGGAGCAAAGGTTTCATTAAAATCAATTCCAGGTTCCTGTGCAAATCCTCTAGCAACCAATCGAGCTTTTCTCTTTTGAACTGTTCCATCTGCATTATATTTCGTTCTAAGAACCCAGCGACATCCGTATTACCTTTTTGTTCTGTGGTCGCTTTACTAATTTCCATGCACCATTTTTAACAAGTGCTTCATACTCACTTTGCATAGCTTATGCCATTCTTCAGCATAACTTCCATTTAATGCTTCTTCTAATGTCGGATTTGTATCCTATTCTTCAGCAATTTGTGCTTCTTCCTTTTCTATGGTTTATTATGTACGGTACTCCTTTTTCGGTCTTCCTGGCTTCCCCAGTCTTGACTTTCTTTGGACGACCTGGCCCCCTTTTTAATCTGCATTTCAGGTAGTTGCTTCGGAATCAGAATCTTCATTATCAGATGATTCAGCAGATGATTCTGCCATATTTGAGGGGTCTTCTGTTATTTCATCAGCCGATATTTGATTTACATTCAGAAAGGTTCTTCCTTATTTTTATCAGGAATATTTTCGAGAAATAAAACTTCTAAATCTTTATCATAATTAGTACAGTTTTCAAATTCATCAATGAATCTAACATCTCGGCTTATAACGATTTTTCTGGAATTTTTATTCCATACAGCCTGTATGCTTTCGATTCATTTGAGTATCCTACAAAATATGTTCTTCTGATCGAGGATCGAAATTTCCCTTTAGACCTTTTATTAAGTACAAAACATTTCTGTCCGAATACTTTGAAGTGAGATACAGTTGGCTTGATGCCAAAAAATAACTCTATAAGGTGTTTTGTTACTCCCAGGCTTCGATTTGGGCAACGATTACGAATATAAACAGCACAGTTCAAGGCTTCAGCCCAAAAGGATTGAATGGAGAAGAATTACTTTGTAGTAACAAACATCTGGCCATTTCAGGTTAAAGTGCGGTTCATGCGTTCAGCTCTCGAATTCTGTTGAGGAGTCATTGGTGCAGAGAATTCTCGTTTAATCCCGCATTCTTGAATATATTTATTAAATTCTTCTCCGCGAATATTCGAGACCGTTATCAGTCCGAAGGATTTTTATTTTCTTTCCTAGATGATTTTCGAACCGCAGCTTTGTATTTAATGAATGCATTTTTCACTTCGTCTTTAGTTTTAAGAAAACTGACTTCGACATAACGCGATTTGTCGTCTATGAAAGTAACAAAATAACGCGAACCAGCATGGGATGGGACTCTCATAGGTCCACACAAATCTGAGTGAATCAAGTTCAGTAATTCATCACTTTGAAATTTTGAATTCTTTTTGAACAAGCTAAAGTTGCACAGTTTGTTTACCTCGATACAGACTTTGCAGTCTTTTAGAGATTCAGTGTTATTAAAATTTAAATTTCTAACCATGTTATCAGACTTA